TCTACAAGTTCTACGGTCACTCTTCACTATGTTCCCCTATGTCTTTACTTACGGTTCATCACCGAGTGTGTGATAATCTACCGCTCTCTTGACATGCACAGCTCACCTAGGTATGCGTCTCACTTTCTCCCATGTTGGCCATGTATTTGATGGTATGCTGTCTTCTCATATTCAGTTTCAAACATCGACACAACACCGAAATCGATCATCACCGCCATCAAGATGTCACTCTCCAACGCCATGGACGTCGCAATGACCACCATAATGGAGAATACCAGCACCAAGCCCCTGGAAACCGCCGATATTGCTCCCGCACCGCTGCCGACCTACACACTGCCAACGGACGAACACGAGCTGAAAGATTTCAAGAAGCGTTTTGGGGCAGACAAGACCCCCGAGGAACACCGGGCCGAGTACCTCGCTACCCACGCAGGTAATTTTCATGACGCTGACCTTATTGACGGCCTTACTGATGCTGGATCTCACAGGTGATCCAAGGCCGCCATTTGCTGGTGATCCTATTCGCTATGCACCGGTCTCACCTCCACCGAAGAAGCGTATGGTCTGCTTCTGCGGTGCGTCGTGCCTAGTCATGTAGAGGTATGTCTTCAAGCCAGATTCACATCGTCTTTTGCTCATGCTGATTTGCGCTGTATAAAATTCCGACCGCTTCGGGACTTGGAGCTATCTGAGGTTGTGAGATCTGCGCTGCAGAAGTTCATTGTCCCGGTCTTCAAAGACCAATTTCCAGATATGAACATTGTCTTCTTTCACTACTCTTCTCTCCTTCCTTGTGTCTACTGGTGAAGTCGGTACAGACACTCTGTACAAAGTAGACCTCGGTGATTCTTCAAGTGGTGTCCGTAATTGAGCCTACGTGATTGAGAGCTTGGCCCAGGGTTATCCCCATGAATGATAGGGGTTAGCGTGGCGGAGTTTACATCACCTCATCGTCACTGCGGCATAATGTCTTCGGTCTATCATGGCACAATCAATGACAATCAAGGTACCAACTAGCGGTTAATATTTTTGGGACCCAGGTAAGTATTGAGGCTTTTCAAGTCGAAGCTTACAAGTCGAAGCAGATTACAGAACCTCGCCAGCGGAGTCGTGGTTCTTTCTTAATCTCTACGTCGTCTGCGCATCTCGCTGGTTCGATAAGTCACACATAGCGTCCAAGATTATCACTATCCCAGCCACATTGTGCCTCCGTCACCAGCATCATAATGACTGGACAGGAGAGGCCTTGCTGCCTATCACCTAGATCATACCTGCGCACATATTCAACACTCTCACCAGATCTCAAACTTGAAGCAAGAGGCGGAAAACAGATAGCAAGCCACCCCAGCAGTCCCAGAATCAAGATCACGTAGCGACACGTGCTGATACAGTGGCGACAGTCCAAGATCTACACCTCTAACCTCCGCCAAACAACCAGATTCTGTCTCGTGACCTTTGCCCACGTTCGGCACGAGCTGAATGCTACTAAAACCGCTACTACTACTCGTGTTTCGAAGAAATCCAGTAGTATAGATGAGAAAAGGACGAATGACAGGTCCAAGACACCCACCATGCAGTCACAAAGTCCATGTGGTGCACAGGACCTGGACGCTGTCGGCCCTGAGCACACCAGAACTTGGAGCCTCAGCACCATTGGGCTGTTCTTGTGCTCTTGCAGCACTCGTGCTCATGCTGATGTTGACTAGATCCAGAATGGCATGATGAAGAAGACCTATTGTCCATCAGCCAATCAAAATGAACCCGACACGCATTTTGCCTTACATCATCTGTCTCACTCGCAGCCACGCACACTCGAGCTGACCATCACAATAAAACCAGCAGCACCACCTGCGTGCTTTTCTTCCTCCACATCATCTTGAGCAGCTACCATGCAGCGCATCCACGTCTCGTTTGCTCCGAAGGGTGAGCGAAAGAAGGGTCGGATCGAAAGGAACGGGATAGAAAAGACTAGAGGGAGACAGTTCAGGGGCTCCAACCAGCGTGTGCAATCCCGATTCCGTACTCTCCTTGCTGAAAGACGAAACTCGATCCGGTCGTCAATCTCAAGCCTGCCAAAGCCGCATTCTACTGCGATTATGGGAGTAGGTGATTGCAGAGAGTCATCGGCATACTCGAGATCAGCGGCTGGAGTGCAAGCACTGGCTTGATGCTCACCTATGACCAGCTTTGCAACCAAGGTTTCCCTGCCTTGCACATCGTGGGATCGGGGGAGGGGAGGGGGGATCTGTACAAGCAGGCCCGCAAGCGCATGCTTGACCAAGGGTAGAAAGCGCTTTAATTGACCTTTGGTACGCGACACTCCACCCATATCTCAGCGGATCCGTAGCTTCCCATAGACCATCACATTCATACACCGGATTATTCACTAAACCACGACCACCTTTCCTCTTCAACATCCGCCTCCAATTGCTGGTCAGATCAGCCGCAACAAGCACCGACAGCAACCTCTACCGGCTGACGGAGTGGACAAGAAGACCCAGGAAGACCAAGGCGCTAAGCCCGCCTACCTCGTGTAGTGGACATGGGTAGGACTCGCTCTAAGTTGCCTGTGCGGAGACAGCATTCGGCAATGCTTCCGTCTTGATGTTGCATGTGGATGTAGTCGATCTAGTACATGCCAGATAGCAATAGTGTCGGATTGGTTGCAGCCAACACTAATTTCCTTCAAGGCTCCTGTTCACGAAGAAGTTGACCACGATCACGACGACGAAGATGATGTCCCACCTGCTGCTAAGCACAAGATGCCCGGCGAGCGCAAGATTCACTCTAGGCGCAATTGGTTGATTCGAGTTTAAGGTCTCCTTTCGAGAGGCAACTCGTAAGCTATAAGTGGCTGCCCACCAGCAAATCTTCGACTGGATGAACCGTTCCCGTTGGCATTATAGACTCGGTTTTTCACTAGGAGCACTTTCTGCCCTCCTTAATGCCCTCTTTAAGCGCCTCCTTAACGGCCCCCTCAAGTGTCTACTCAAGCTAAAGAAGACTAATAAGCCCGACTCGGGAACCGGATAACAACATAACCTGAGCAAGTCGCCAGCAACATACACCCGAGCTCTAGACAGCGAGGCCATCTCTTCCCAGATTCCCGCGATAGGTTCTAACAGTTTGAGTACCGTCTGGTCTATCTAGTTCTTGCACTTAGCTCTTCTTGAGACCTGGGTGTATTTTGCTTCTATAAGCATCTCAGGAAGTCCGCGAGATCAGTATTAGCAGACCAGACAACGTTCAAGACGAACTTAGCCACTGGTCGGCCTTCCCTGACGCTCAAGCAATCAAATTTCTCCTTTTCCAGGAGTGCAATGGCCCGCGTTGTCTCCAACTTGTAGGCTGTACTGAGGGCTTGCTCCCAGTTGTCGAGGTATTCGCTTGCGCGGATATCTTCACGTTGGGCTGGTGTGAGTTCCGACAGCCACCATTGATAAGCCACGCCCCGCAGGCAGCGGTTCAGGTTTCTTCTCACGAGCGACTATGGAGTTGTGGAGGCGATGTCTCTTGCCGTATGATCACTATCCAGCTACCTTCTAGTACATAGGTGCAGAAAACATTGTACAATGAACATCTGAAACCTCAAACCTCAGCATGTGACCTGCACCCCAGGAAAAATGGCTCAACAAGAGTATAAGAGTAGATCAGCAACTCACATTCCTCAACATCACAGCACAGAAGTGCGGATACAAGACCTCCAAGGTAGCCCGTGACATGTGAGGACGAATCAAGAAGAAACTTGAGGCGAACGCCAGCCACAGTAGCAAGACTACTAAGGCAGAGGCAATTCACCCAGGCTCTAGGAAGCGCACAGAGGATTTTCCCTAGAGCGGCTGCAACTAGGCACGAATGATAGCATAAGCAGCAACAGCTTGAGAAGAACAGTATGAGATAGAGTCTTTGTAGTGGCCACGCACAGGTGAACGAGGTCTACTGCAACAACAGGCTATGGAAATTACTATATGGAATTCCTGCCTTGTGTGGCTGCGCACAGGCATAAGCTAGATAAGCGTCAAGGGTTGAGCCTCTAGAAGAATCGGATGAGATTGGGTCTAGCAGTGGCCGCGGACAGGCACTATTCTAACAAGAGGGAAATTAGATGGAAGTTCCAGTCTTTGATCTCAGAAACATTTACAGTGAATCCAGGTCGGACGTCTCAAAACATGATTTGCGAATTGTTATCAAGTCTGTCACTTTGGGTTCACTGCGTGTTATTACTGTGCTGTTAGGCATTCCCAAAAAAACACTAGCCAACTTGCTTTAATTATCTTGACTATCGAACACGTCTCCAGCGCGGAGATCGTGTGCCTTGCTGTCGAGGCGTTTTTCGCCACGCTTTCCTCGTCCGTGGGCACAGATACCCAAACAGTGCTAGACATACCACGACCAGGCAAGACCAGCATTTTACAAGGATTTTGTTAACCTCATCAATCAATTTTCAGATAGTGGGATGAGATAACATCTTGGTCTGGCCGCGACAAGGCACGAATAGCCAGCTAGGAGGGGAGGATCCTAGGTCTCATTGGTTAAAATTTTCGAATTTCATGCTGGGCGTGTACAGAGATTATAGCTTGTCTTGGCCGCGGCCAGGCATGAACGGTAAGCGAAGAAGTGCAAACTCCACAGGCTTAGTGTTTGACATAACTCGATCTCACAAACGGAGTGTTGAGCGAGACTGTACCTTGCTTTGGCCGCGGCCAGGCACGAATGGTAAGCTAGGGGCCAAGCCAAGGGGGGCAAGTTCTTCAGGGTCGTATTTCAAAAGGGTTCGCTCTCACACCAGGACTGCCGTGTGTGAGATCCCGTGTGGGTTAACAGCGACCAGGCGCGATTGCAAGCAGAGTGACCAGAATCTTTGGGCTTGTTGCTTGGAATGATCCATTCTCACACGCAGTAGGCTGCTAAAAGATGATTGCAGCCAGTCCGGTGAAATTGTAGCCGTCTTCGCGATGTCTGAGAACAAGAAGAAGATGAGCAAAAAGAGATAGACATGATGGTCAGTACGGGGGTCGAACCCGCGACCTTGGCGTGCCATATACCGGAGTGATATTAGCACCACGCTCTAACCAACTGAGCTAACCGACCGAGGTGGATCAGATGGTATTCGGTGAATACTCGGGTCACGTGATGGCTATCTGATGGCCCATCGTGAAAAAGTATCGCACATCACATGTATGTTCGCCTAGAGTATCTGGATGGGCATGTCGGAAGTTGTTGAATGGCATATGTTGACCGTACCAAGCTTTGGACAAGGAAGTATCAGACGGAAGCACGACGCCGAGGTGGAAGCAGGAGTCGTTGATTTTACAAGTGGGCTATCTGCTTTCCGCTATATAGCAAACGAAATGCTAGTAGAAGGCTAGATCATGGCGTGCATGATGATAGAGTTCCGCAATGACATTTCAAGTCCGAAGATTCGACGTGTGCCGTATCGAAGAAACGATGAGGTTCCGAACTGTTGAATGTGCTTTGAGTAGTCGAAGACGTCTCCTGCGGGCTGGGCTTTGGCGCAAGTGCAAGGTAGATGACGAATGAATCCACAAAATACCAAGGTCAGCTTTGCTTGTCAGCCTAATACAGCACAGATGGCGTGCAGGTGCGTGACGAGTCGCTGTGAGTAGGTCACGGAGGTTCAAATAAGCGCGGTGGTCTTCGCGGGGAGATCGCTGGAACGGTCCAGTGTTTCGGATCGGATCGTTTGGGTGGTGCTTGGCGGATGATGACGGTCATGATGATGATGCGGCTCTGTGGGGCCTTGGCTTTGAATTGACAATAAACACGCACGCGACGTCCCTGTTATTAAAGTTTGGCATATACAGAGCAGAATCAGGTAGGCACGGTAGGATAGGCATCCGAGTATCGCGCAAACACCCGACTCTAGCAATGGGCGAGGAACGGCGGCCTTCTCGACGGCAGCCATCATCCAGCAGACATTCATCCACTTCTCGATTCAAACCGAGATCCAGAACGTCGAACCAATCACTACAGAGCGCTGGCAGGCCTCAGGAGACGACTTTTACATCCTTTGAACCATTTTCACCGCCGAAAGACAGCAATGGTCATCATGCCCTTCATGGCGAAAGCGAAGACAAAGCCGAAGACAAGAGAATGAACAGGATGAGCAGAATGAGCGACACCATGTCAATACACTCGTACTCGTCGAGCAAGCGCTCACGATCCATCTACGCCCCGCACCACGAGAACTCGATCGTCATCGAGCCACGCAGCGAGCCCGCTCATAGTCAATACGGCGATCTCACCGATGGCAATCTATCCTCCGGTGTTTCTCAAGCATCGCGATCGTTACATGCTGTCTTGATGGACCGACCCGAGCAGTCACGTCCAGCTCTGTTTCCCGACAATTTGAACACGTACCGAAGCAACCCACAAGCATTGATCGACCTCACCACCAAACAATTGACCACTTTCATTCATCGCCAAGGCGGTCCCGAGCATGTCATCAAGACTTTGGCCAAAGACTTGTCCGAGAAAGATGCGGAAATATCAATGTTGAGAAAGAAGAACGACAAGTACGCTTTCTTGTTCAAAGATCATTTGACTGCCGTACATCAAATGAGCAGACTCGACGCCGACAAGAAAGTTCAGAGCCATTTTCCAGACACCAACGAGAACGTGCGCACCTATAGCGAGGAGGTTCGTCAGGCTCTTTTTGAAGCCAGCGAAGACCTCTTTGCAGCCCATGACGCTGTCTCGACGGCAACCACACCAGGCACTATCCGTCAGCCTCCAGCACCACCCATTGTCAGAAACAAGAGCACAAAGCAAAGCCAGAATACTGAATCACCTGCCAATACAACCAGCCCACAAAAAAGGCGCCAGACCGTCGCTCGAGGGTAAACTTCTTCACTAACTCTAGCAACCAAAGGCATCCGCTGACATATTCATTCAGAAACACTGTTTCAATCAATCCAATAAACACCAAACGCACTGGCTTCTGGGGCGTCTTCGGTGGCAGCACTCGAGCAGTCAAGGACTCTGCAAACAACCGCGCCTCCATCGCAAATATCCTTGGCGTGCCATTACCGAGCCCTAAGGCTCAGAGTCTACGCTCGCCCAGCATCGCTGAATCATCCATGAAAGCTCCACCGCTAGAGATGGAACAAAAGATTGACGAGGGTGATCTGCCTCCTCCACTGCTCACCATGTCGCAACTCGTCCATCTCTTCCCAACCCCAACCTATGACAACTATGGTTTCGTCATTGACGAGCCTCGAATTCACAGCTACATCCAATACTGGACAGCCAAGAACAAGCTGCCCATCGAGAGCTACAAGAGAATACTGGCCCCTTCAAAAGCCCCTAAATCAAGACCTACCTCGATGATCTCGCTCGGCGATGATGATGTAAATCTGTCCGACTCTTTGGAAGTGCTGATTCCGGAGCCTGACACTGCTGCTGACAGCACTGATGTGCCCTCAAAGTCTTGGTATGATTACCTTGCCTTTGGTGGCAGCCTGGGTCTTTTGTCTCGAATGCCGACCCAGCCTCAAGGTTCTGAAAGCATCAATCACGTCACATCAAATGATGAAGAATCCGAGGACGATGAAGACCCAGCCGAGATCGAAGCCCGCAGATGCGAGGCTATCGTCGATCCAGACGACTACCAAGAACTGGCCGTGACACTCCGCGATGAGATCACCAAAGAGTACAACACACTTCAGACAGATCGAAACAGAGCCTGGTCGCGCTTACTGAACACCATGGCTGGTGACAATGCTGCGACAAGCAATCGTCTTTCCCGCCTGTTGCTAAATACCAACGCAGAAGGTATCCGCGAACGCAGCAACACCTTCAGCTCCAGCAGCGTCGGCATAGCGAATCTGGCCAGCTCACAGTACCAAGAACAATTTATCAAATTCGTCCTCGGCGGCATTCCCATGAACCTGCGATCCAAAATCTGGCTCGAGAACGCTGAAAGCAGTATTCATTACAGCCCGGAGGCCTTTGACATCTATAAACGAGAGTTCGATGCCAACACCAAGAAGCTCATGCCAATCATCCACGATATCAACGCTGATAAGACGAGGACGTTGACGAACAACATCTGGTTCCGTGGTGAGCTCACAGACTACAAGAACGGAGATCCAAAACAACACCAAAAGCAACTTTTGTCGCAATCACATTTGGAGAGTATTCTCCGCGCTTTTGCTGTGCGCAACCCGCACATTGGTTACATCCAAGGCTTCAATCTCATCGCCGGCTATCTCATGCTAGCAGTCCCTACAACCGAGCAGGCCTTTTGGGTCTTTACTTTTCTCATCGAGACCGTCTTGCCCGAAACATATTTCTCAGTCGGCGACACCGCCTTCCGTGGTCCTCGTGCTGACACCGTCGTCCTGAGGACGTACATCAGACAATTGATGCCCAAGTTAGCCGCACACATGGACGATCTCGATTTGCCAGACGAGCAAACCGTGCCCATAAACTGGCTCTTGACAGCCTTCGCCTCGACACTCTCCGTCGAAGCATTGTTCAGGGTCTGGGATGTGGTCTTGAGCATTCCCGCTCAGGGCACTTATCTACTCAGGGTTGCCCTTGCGTTGTTGAAGATCAACGAGGAAAAATTGCTCAAGACTCACTCTGCGAGTGCGCTTTATGCCGTTCTGGACCGGCATATGGGCGCCGGCGTCAGCATTGATGGACTCGTCCACGCTAGTTGGGTCCTCGGAAGGATGGTGACACCTGCGGCTGTCACAAAGAGAAGGGAATCCGCTTTGGCTCAGCTCTAGGGATTTGATATCCAAGTTTGTAGCTTCTCACACTTGATGTATTCGCGCGGAAAGAGATTGGATCACCGAATTCGTCGGGTGCTGGGGCGGGTCCCTGAGCACCATTCAATGGCATTGGAGGCACATATACCACATAAGAGGCTTTGGGTCCTTTTTTTTTTCTGTTTTTATCTCTTTCTTTTCAAGTAGATACCCCAGACGCATTGCAGCAATTGACGAAAAATTAATCATCACCACTTTACTTTTCCCTGGCTCGAAGGACACTCTGGTCTTTTGGGCCTCGTATGAGATATCAGAGAAACCAGTGTTCATGGACTCGTCTGCTATGTATCTGACTACGCGGGAGGGGGAGGGGGGCGTATCAGGACAAGTGTAGCAGCATAGATGGGAGGCAGCACCGATCATATTTACGGGCGGTACTCATAGTACCGATCATATTCACGAGCGATCGACAGTCGAATAGTATTGACGATTCGAGATTCCTGGCGTCGGTCGAATGGCGTTGGTCAAATGGCGTCAGTTGGGCATTTGTAGAACGTTGATTGGAGAGAGTAAGTAAGGTATGGTGGTGTCGGACGTTGATCTGACGTTTGGGTTTTGACGTTTGACCTGACGTTTGACCTGACGTTTGACGTGACTTTTGACATTTGACTTTATGAGTTTGAGTAAGGTGAGGTAAGCTTGATGGGTTTGAGTAGAGTAATCTTGGTGGATTCGATGGGTTTGAGTAAAGTGAGCTTGATGTGTTTTGGTAAGGTTGGCTTGATGGGTTTCAGTAAGGTGAGTTTGATGTGTTTGATGGATTTGATGGATTTGAGTAAAGTAAGGTAAGCTTGGTGGGTTTGAGTAAAGTAAGCTTGATGTGTTTTGGCCGTGACGTTGAAAGTTGCGAATCAACGTTGGACTGCATGGCGTTAGGCACTGAACAGCGTTAGCAAATAACGTTGATGTTCTGCGTGAGTAGTGTCGCTGATCTGATGATCTCTTGATCCGATGCAAGATGATCCGGATGATCTGATCTGATCTGATGATTCGATGCATGATGATCCAGATGATCGGACACGAGTCCGTTGACAACTGCCATTGTAGTCTAGACCCATCCGAACCTAATGCCCTTCCTAATGCTCATCCTGATTCACTAGCACAGTAAATGTTTAGTGGTACTTGTAAGCGGAGCTTAATAGCTATGAGGAGGACGCACTCGGTCTTTACTGTGCAGCCATCATTGCTGACGTGTATCACATCCGTTCAATGCTTGCGAGTGGTTTGGTTGGACTTGAAATGCGATGCTAGGTAGATCTTGATAGTGTGCAGATGGATGCATGTGGTGCATTA